TAATGCAGAATATCAGAAACAGAGTCTGGTGAAAGGAGGCAGGTTCTGTATGCTTGAAAGGTACATTCTGAAATTTCATCAAAACTTGTGAAATGCAAGCTGTATGGAAAAATCACTGTATACATTTGGTGAAAAGGAAATAACAACAGCAGAGTTGGTTAAATCGAACATATTGGTCCCGTTGTGGGATCTCCTGCTGGGACCTGGAAGGGCTGCTGGACTGCCATCACTTTCATCTGTGCAAGCAGGTAATGGAAATTTTTATGGAATCAGAAGCACCTTGGCAATGCCTGTGGCAATTCCTTGGTAATTCACTTTCTCTCCATCCTCAGGAATCCACAATATTATACTATTATACTATTCTTTTTTCACAAATCCATCAGTCCTTCCAGTGTCTGCCCACAGACTTAATACTTTAGAAACACCCTTATTTGTCCTCTCAATTTCCTTTCAGCTACCTGTTCATCTGATAAAGATGAAGTTGTACTAGCTGGGAATTTTGAAAGTAGTTTTCTAGTTCCCTTGGTGTGGTTGAGTGGTGAGATTTAAGGTCCTCCGGTCCTTTAAAATGTGCAAAGTTGGGGGAGCTGGGGACAAAGAAAAACTATGCCCAGGTCTAAAGGACTTTGGCTGTTTTGCAAGAGCAGCTGTTTCTTCCTCAGGTGTCAGTGCATATCCCTCCACAGTGCATTTCCCTTGTTCTGTACAAGATACTAATGGATGAAACAAAGGTCTTTTCACGGCATCTGCTGCTTGTGTTACAAGAAGAATAAGTACACTCATGAGACTGGAAACATTTAACAAAAACAACGAGGAATTTTTGTATATACTCTGAAACTTTTGGAAAAGAGGGAAAGAAATGTGAAAGCACTTTTTTTTCCTGTTTATTGTAAAGTTCAGCTAGCTCCTGTTATTGATTCACAAAACTGCACTAGAAGCACTAGAAAGAGCACATCAGCTGGCTTAAAATGTGAGCAGAGTGGGAAACAACTGTGCAGAGATGCCTACAGCATTATGCCCCTTTAATTTCCATGGTCCACCTCACAGACATTAATTAAAGTTAGGGAATGGGGAACCTTTAGAAACCTTTTCCATCAAAACACTCTTCATCTCCTTTCCAAGGGTGATACCATAGATCACAGTTACTTTCCTTTTTTGTCATATATAGGAGAAAAAGAAATCTCTCATGAAAAATGGCACTCATCATCCATAATTAAAACAAAATAATCACTCTACTAAATACATATCCCACCTTTAAGAGGATAGGTACTTATGATGGCTATTAAATATATCATTTGGGAATGACAAAATACCATAGCGATTAGAGCAGTGTACAAATGAGGATAGAACAGAAGTTGCATAAATTGGCTGAGAATGAAGGATTTTTTTTACCATACTCTTCAGCAACTTAAAGAGTATTAAATATAAAAACATGTAACAAGAGAAATGTAAGACACTCTGCCTACATCCCAGTAGAGAACACACAGCAGAGTAACATGAGCCTTAAGCTGGAAATCTGTGACAGCCTAAAAAACCCTCAAAGTCTGAGCTCCTCTCCCTTCCCCAGAGATTGTTTCATAAGTTTTCTGTACAATTTTATTCTACAATAATATATCTTAATAGTTAATGCCCTGAAGCTCCAGATAAATACTTTGATAAGAAAGTTCATAAATAATTGTATTATCATTCTCTGAATAAAGTCAGATATTCTGGTATGTAAGGTGCCTGAATGTTAAATGACCCAGACTTTTAAAACATGTTCCAGTATTTGTCAACTGGAGAGAAAATGTGATTTTTTTTTTCCAGAAGTCCTGAGCTGCGAATTCAGCTTGTCAACTACGGTGACAGAATGAACCTCTGTTCATGCATCTCTGTTTCTCAGTACAGAATATGACTGTGTTCAGGTGTTTCTCATCCAGAACAGGTGGACTCCGTGAAGCACTGCAAGAGAGAAAAATATGTGACACTGCTAATATAAACAGGTGGGTGTTCTAGAATTAAAAAATGTGATGCTTATTGCTGTACTTCATCATGTGAATTGTATACTTTCAGTTGTGTCTTTGGCAGATGAAAGTAAATTGAAGTTGATACTCACCATTTTACACTATAAATTTTATTTCAGAGATGTTCTTTTATTATTGATGATTATTACCTATTGATGCTTCACTTGTTTCAGTAGTATGTTTCTCTTTTTCACTAGAAAGACACAATAATATTACTATACTAATGGCCTCCTGGAATTCCTTAACTTTTCCAGAACTACAAACCAGTTCTCTTTAGTGAGAAATAAATATGCCCAGCATCAACACTGGATCAAAGTTTTTATACACAATTGCAGGATCAAATAGCTACAAGACACAAGACTGGTTGTGGCTATCTCTCTCTGTAAATAGCTAATAGAGATATACCTAGACATGAGGAAACACAGGCATCTTCACAAATAAACAAATAAGTTGAAGGTTTCTTTGAGAAACCCACAGCAAAGTCCTGTCAAAGCCATCAACAGCATTGAACAAATATCTTCCTTCCTTTGATTAATACCTAATTTTGTACTTCAGTTCCTTTAAGTTTAACCCTGAAACAAAGTATGTATTCCTGGGAAGGGACTGAATTATATTGTTGTCCTTAAAACACACAGGTTTTTTTTTCCTTTGTGAAAAATAAAGAGATGTAAACCCTTTCTTTCAGTTCTACCCCTCTTTAGAAAGTGAAGAAGTAAAGCTAAGCAGTGGAAGATACTTTTCAAGCAGCACCATCTAGCTCTTTACCACATTTGTCAGTCAAGGTACTAGCTTGCATATTGACTGCATTTCATGTCTTCATGTTGCTGTTGGACACACCAAGTTAAACCCTAAATCCACCCAGATGCTGTTTTACTTGACTTCTCTGATCTGAAAAACCTGTGGATTTTCCATGGCAATGGTGAGTAAATGCTTCATAGTTTAGATTAGATTAGATTAGATTAGGAGGATGTTTCATAATCATAAAGAGGTACCTCTCCATGCTCTCTAATTTACATAATTCAGAAATACCAGTTCAACCACCTGTTCTGCTCTAAGTCTTACACTGTGCGTGTCACAGCAGTATGTACAGCTTGGCACCACTCAGCTCTTTTGGATCTTTAGGAAGGATTAATTCTTTTTCTAGAGAAAGTGAGTTGGGCAAATATATTTTTTCAACAAAAGGACAGCAAGAAAAAGATCAACCATAAAATGGCTTGACTTGTTCATCCTGGAGAAGAGCAGATTGAGGGCAGACCCCAGAGCAGTCTGCAGCTTCCTCATGAGGGGAAGTGGAGGGGCAGGTGCCAATCTCTTCTCTCTGGGGACCAGTGACAAGACCTGAGGGAACAGCAAGAAGCTGGGAAGGTTTAGGTTGGCTATTAGGAAAAGGTTGTTCACCCAGAGGGTGGTTGGGCACTGGAACAGGCTCCCCAGGGAAGTGGTCACAGCCCCAGGCCCGATAGAGTTCAAGAAGTGTTTGGGCAAAACTCTCTGGCACGTGCTGGGATTTTTGGGGTGTCTTGTGCAGGGCCAGGAGCTGGGCTTTGGTGATCCTTGTGGGTCCCTTACAACTTAGCATATTCTGCGATTCTATGAAAAAAATTCTGGGAACTTGATGAAAAGGCTATTCTGTATGTTTGTGTCATGCTGCCCATGAAATTTGGCTAAAAAAAATGAGGAGACATTTTCAAAAGTAATGAATCATTTTCCGTGGCTAAAATATTTCATCATGAAATTTCCCAAGAAATTTCTGTTTCACATTAGTCTCCAAACACAATTCCAAGTTGTATTCCAAGATGTGATGCTTAATCTCTGTCCCACTTAACAGACAGGGTCCCCAGCAGGGTCAGTACAGGAGATTTTACTGAAATAAAACAGGAGTGTATTGACCTAAGCAACAAAATTGCAACTATATGAGCAGCATTAAGATATCTGGCTAGCAAAATGCATTGTCACGTAGAGATAGGACAAGGGGAAATGGCTCTGACAGAGAGCAGTTTAGATTGGATATTAGAAAGAAATTCTTCCTTGTGAGGGTGGTGAGGCTGTGCCCAGAGAAACTGCGGGTGTCCCACCCCTGCAAGTGTTCAGGACAATGTTGGATTGAGCTCTGAGCAACCTGATGCAGTGAGACATGTCCCTGCCTATGGCAGGGGGGTGGAACAAGATGATCTTTAAAGTCCCTTCCAACCCAAATCATTCTATGATTGTATGATTCTATGAAATAGGCCATGTTTAAACATCTAAGAAACATGAACAAGCACTGTGTAAAAGTGTCACTACTGTTAGAAACTGCAGGGGCATGGGAAAATGAAAGAGAAGTTGTCTTTTACAGAAGTTGTCTCTTCATTGTCTAAAATCCATGAATGGATATAGAATCTGAAACTCATCAATAATGGTTAATACATGATTGTTGTAAATCCAGGGTTTAAGGTTCTTCTTTTTAACTTTCACAGGCCTTGAAGACTGATTTAAACACAAGAATCACAGCTCATGTGGACTAAGCCTGAGGTGCACCCTCCAATGACACATGTAGGGTTTAGTTACTTTCACACTTTCACATTAAGAAATACAAGATTTTGGTGGGGTTTTTTTGAAATTAAACGATATCACAGCTTTTGACGTCTGAAAGTTTCCTACCATTTTTCAGTTTAATAAACTGAAGATTTTAATAGAGGTCTTTTAAAAACACATGCTGCACTCTGAAGGTGTGAATATATCCTAACTAGCCAAGTTTACATATGGCTCATACAGGAAGCTCATAGGTTTCTTCGTAGCCTGACAGCGAAATTTAGCTGTAATTGAGTAATATTAATAAAAAATAATCTTTAGGACATCTGTTCCACACAGTAGAGGGCTTGGGTCATACCATTTCTGCTGTATCACAAATGAAAAAAAGAGCAAATCATAATCCAGGGAGAAGTCCTGAAAAACTCAGCTCAGGAATTGGCTAAAGCAGGTGTTTCAAATAGAAGCTGTTGGAGCAGATCACTTAACAGTTATTGCTAGCAACAGCGATAATAACTGTTTTGGTAGGGCGAGTGAGGAGGGGTAAATTTATGATTTAATGGCACTTATGTTTTATACATAAAAGGGTGTCATTTTAATAATTTTCTTCTTTTTATTGCCTGAGGTGCTTAAGATGCATAACCTATTTTCTCAGATCACATCAGCACTAGGAAAACATATTTCAATATTTTACAGAGTAATCAAGCTGGGATCTATGAGTTATCAACAAAATGCCAGCTGAAACAAATCCATCAGCTATAAAGTATGCTTTGTATTTATATGGGCAAACTAAGTAACTTTGGAAAAGAAAAGAAAAGAAAATAATTCATCTTGCAATCAGGGTACTTCATGATAAAAATGAACTTCTTTTTCAATTCTCTTGGAAATTTTGAATTGCATTATTTTTTTCCTGGACATGCACTGTAGCTAGCACACCCCTGGCTTTGCTCACACTGTGATCAGTAAGTGGGTAGGCAAAAGAGCAAACACAAATACTTCTTTGTTTGATTTAGGTCACCTTCTGTTGCCAAGACATTGAAAGTTCATGTTAATTTCTGTCACCTGCATTTAGAGACATTTAGGCAGCTAATGTCTTGGAAGACACACACATACATCTGTCACTGTCAGGGAGATGCTGGCCATAGGCTAGCGATGAACATTCTGGAAGGTGGAGACAGCATTTCCCTCAGAACAAGAGGCGAATGACAAGGGAGATATGATCAAATGCAAAAGCATCTGGGATTTGCTTTAGAGAAGAGGTCATAGACCTGAAATTCAGAGTAAACAAAATCACAGAATATTCTGAGTTGGAAGGGACCCACAAGGATCTTCAAGTCCAATTCTTCAATGAATGGCCCATACAGACTCTAACCAACTGAGCTAATCTCAGGGTCAAACAACTGTCTTCTTTAGTCACAAAACTTTTTCTGTGTGACTTCTCTGAAACCTATGACAGGATTATACTAACCACCATGTGCTTAGAAGACAGAGCCTCTTCATAAAACATAACATGAAAACTTGAACAGAACTTAGTGACTTAAGTTTCTGCCTTTATCCAACATTATTAATTTGTTTCATCCCACAACAATCTCTTAGGCTACCAAGCAATCATCCAAGTTAAATTTCCCAGTAAGGCATCAAAGATGGTTCTAACTATCTCTGCTACCTTTTAATATGATGGATGTCCAGTTTAATTTTCATATTTTTGGTGCTGACTGCAGTTAGAGATGACTAGTTCCTCAGCACAGGTCTCTTAAGGAGGTGCTGGAATAGAGGACAGACATAGCTCTTTTCACAACCCTGTCCCCCCTCACGTCCTCTCCCCCTTTTTGTTCCATGGCCCAAATGTGTGGGAAGCGAAGAGCCACCTTGGAGCCCAAAGAGCAGGACAGGGGCCCAAACCTTGCTCCGTGCTCTGGGTACAGGGCAGAAGCATCATGTTTTAAAAAATTCTCAGCAGTGACTGTACTTTGTGGTGGACACTGTCAGTGCGAGCACCATAGGGTGCCCACCCAGCCAAAGTCCCCAGCATCCTCTACCATCCTGTTCAGACCTCCAGCACGGGAACTGTCAGCTTAACAAAGGAGACGCTGTGGTTTGAGATGGGCAGCTGGAAGAGGGGTTAATTTTGATATTGTACTTCAGAGCCTTATGTCCAACTAAGCCCCATTTAAGGCGTGCAAGTAATTTATTATAGCTAGTTCTACAGACTAGTATTTCATATTTAACAACTCTCCTCCTGTATTTCCAAAATACAAGCCTTATTTGAAAAGGCAGTGATTTCAGATATACCATGGAAGGACTTGCTTTTCGAACATCTTAAAGGCAGTTTTGCAGTCCAAGTGGAGGCTTTGGCAGAAGTTTGATGTGGTGGTAATACTGCCCAATCCAGACTTTTTCTCTTTAATGGAAAATGATGGAAAGTCCAGTTTTAACAGGATTCAGACACCGGCTCTTGGAAGCAGGATTTGGTAACCAAAATAAAAAATATCTCAGAAACTTTAATGACCTCCTTCACTAATGCCTGGCCCGGTATTTGCATTTAATAATTGAAGCTATCAGTTTACTTTAACATAGTGGGTCTAAACTTGCTTTCTAATACAGACACAAAATCTCCTTGGCTGCACTGTCTGTAGCCAGAATTTGGGACAATATATTTGTAAAAATAAGATACAGTGATGGTAACTAAAATAATTTTGCCATTATTTGTCAATATTGTTAGAAGATGAGATAATAATCCTCACACCGTAGTGCCAGTGTGGTGTTTATAGATCTTTATAGTTGTCAATGAAATCATCATGACCTCAGGTCAGGGATGGGATCTCCTGCAAAGCTGAGAGAGCTGCATGGAAAGACCCCACACCTATCCCAAGCTGTTCCCTTGAAATCCCTTGAACTTCCTAAGGAATGAGCTAGAACTTCATCATAGGACAAACATGTCCTACTAGATAAACTCAGAATTTGGCCCAGGAAACTTTGGATCTTGATCCCCACCATTTTAGAGAACATCTCTACTGCTGTGATATAAAATTAAAAATATTTGAATTTTCTAGGCAAATATGAATTTGAAGGCAAATATGTACATTTCATTAGAACAGCTGTTTCATATTATTTTTAGAGAGGAACATTAAAACTCAGGCATATATTGCACTGACAGCAAACTGTCTCACTGCATTGTATAAAGGGGACTTCAGCATCATGGCCTGGTGAGAAGTACTGATAACGCCCCTCATTTGGGTCCTCACCTCCAGAAACTTCTCAAACAGGTAAAGTGGAGGTAGATGCTTTAAACTGCTGAAGGAAAGAACAATTCTGGAGCAGTCCACTCTTGCCAGATCATCATTTTCCCACAAGAAGCCCCAGGCATTCTCTGCCTTCAGAACACAGCACCAATTTTCTGGACAGCCTGGCAGTGTGATTTACTTACTGGATTACCACAAAATCGAATGTGCCATTTTGTGCTGAGTGTGGGGTAAACACATGATAAATGCATTGGAAACCACAGTTGCTATTACACAGTAGCTTGTGGTACTGGTACAATATGAGATAATAGCAGAGGGCAAAGAGCTCCTTGTAAGGCAGCTCTTTCCCTTACAAGGAGCCTCAGATGAATACAGCAGCCTGACCAGTTGATTCAGATTTTAGGCCATGCCATTATCACTGTATCAACTCTAGATCGATCCTACTGAAAGCTGGATAATTACATCACTTTATTTTCTAACAGTATAAAAGTTATAAGATATTGTAACGGGCAAAATTAACCCTTGCTCAAAAAGCCATCAAAATGCTTACATCCTAACTGAAAGCAGGGTTCCCATGACATGCCTGAGAATTGCCCAGGCTGTTGCAAAGTTTAAGTTTGCAACGAGGAGGGTATATATGTTTTCTTCACAATGAGTACAGTTCATGTTCTGTCATCGAAGAATTTGGACAAGTTTAACCAGCTAATAATGAATTACAGAAAGGCAAAGGAAAATAAGCATGGAAAAGAAGAGAATCATCAAAACTGATCAATGTCCATTGTAAACAAACACTGACCTAAAAATTTGTGTGCAGCTACAATATCTCACCCTCACCAATCCACTGTGTTTAACCACTTCCATTTGGGACTGGTTACATTTGTAGAAACCTGGCAGATTAATCTGCTGTTTCTATAACTACACCTAAAAAGTTTTCTTGTTTGTGTTAATAACTCAGCTTTTAATAACAGAAATAAGAATGTTATCTTTGCTAAACCACAAAAATTGAAGTTATGCAATATTATGATTCCACTTTAGGCAAACAAGAACTTGGAAATAAGTACCCATCACTAAAGTTACCATCAGATTTTCAGGGGAGCTAGCTCGTAAAAGAGAAGTGAATTTCCACCCTCCAGATTTGCTTGTTTCTGTTTGCTGTCATGTTTTTTAGAGTAATGTAGCACTGTGTGTTAGTTACCTCAGGTGGGGCATAAGGGAAAATGTAGCTATTTATATAAGGATATCCAAATCCACACCAAGGATTATTTCCACAAAGACTTTAGATCTGTGCCGGTTTCGTGAGTGAGAATATTATTTGGTATGGACACAAGAATTGTCATTTGGCACTGTTTTCCAGTGTTGATGTGGGGTGAGAATCACACAATGGCAGAATCATTTAGGTTGGAAAAGACCTCCAAGATCATCAAGTCCAACATTTTAGTGATCACCACCTTGCCAACTAAACCGTAGCACTGAGTAACATGCCCAGTTGTGCCTTGAACACCTCCAGGGATGGTAACTCCCTGGAACAGCCCATTACAATCAATGCTTGACAACCCTTTCCATGAAGAAATTCTTCCTGATGTCCAACCTAAACCTCTCCTGACACAACTTGAGGTCATTTCCTCTCGTACTGTCACTTGTTGCCTGGGAGTAGAGGTCAACCCCCACCTTGCTGCAACATCCTTTCAGGCAGCTGTGGAGAGATATAAGGTCTCCCCCAGACCTCCTTTTCTCCAGGCTAAACACCCCCAGGTCCCTCAACCTTGCAATGGCAATAGAATAGGTGGATACATTGCAGAGTATGAAGATTAAAGCAGCTTTTGTAACTTTTTTGCTAGACTCGTCAGAAGACTGTCAAAAGGAGTGACTAGTAGGAACAAATCTGAATTAATAAGAAGTACCCACTTGTTAAACAAGTGCCAAGGAATATTTTGGATTGAATATTCCAGTGGTGTGGGGGAAAACAATGAAGAATATGGTGCAAAGGAATTACTTTGCTTTGGAGGAATGTAGCTAATTGGGAGACAGGGTAGGAAAAAACATGATTCGGGGGATATAGTGAGCATGAAAAATGTCTATACATGGAAGGGAAATGGAAGCAGAAAGCAAAAGGAAGGAAATAACAGCAAGTCAGGCATTTCATCATGAAAGGTTATCAGATTTGTTGAGCATGATATCCCTGTAGTGAATCCATGCTGACTATTGATGACTTTCCTATCCTTCATGTGCCTGGAAATAGTTTCCAGGATAAATTACTCCATCACCCTTCCTGGGATTGAGGTGACACTGACCAGTGTGTTGTTTCCTGGGTTCTCCTTCTTGCCCTTAAGGAAGACAGGAGTGACATTGGCTTTCCTCCAGTCCTCGGGCATTTCTCCAGTCACCGTGATCATTCACCGAGAGCAGTCTCGTGATGACAGTACCCAGGTCGCTCAGGACTTGTGGTTACTTCCCATCAGAGTTCATGGACTTACATATGTCCAGTTTGCTTAAGTATTCCCTGACCTGGTCATCTTCCATGGAGGGTAAATTTTCCTTCCTACAAATTGTCCCCTGCTCTCTAGGGCCTGAGAATGATGAAGTCCAATCTTGACAGTACAGACTGATATGAAGAAGTAATTCAGCACCTCAGCCTTTTCCATGTCCTGTGTCAACAGGTCCCCTGCCTCATTCGGCAGCAGAACCACATTTTCACCAGTTTTCCTTTAGAACATGTGCACTTAGAGTGTCCTTCTTATCGCCTTTGACCCTCCTCACCACATTGTCTCCTAGTTGGGCTTTGCCTTTCTGACCCCTGTCTTTGCATGCTCAGATAGTGTCTCTGTATTCCTTCCACATTGCCTGTCCCTGCTACCACCTTCTCTCCACTTTATTCTGATCTATGAATTTTGCCAGGAGCTCCTGTTCACCCATACAGGCTGTCTGGTATTTTTGCCCAACATTCTGCTTGCTGGGATGAACTGCTATTCCATTGGTTCGTGATTAGCGATGCAGGGGCACCTTTCTAAGGAGATAAATCTCTAATCATGACTTGAAAATACATTTCAGTTGTGGGAGAGAGTAATTAATATGCACATTTTATTTTTATGTGTGCATGATCTGTAAAATCTTAAGAGGTAAAAAATCACAAACATTTTGCACTGTTTTAAAAAGAGGTAAATCAAAAACCTAAACTTTCATTCTGCCAGAGGCAGTCAAATTCATTCCAAACCAGAACAGATGGACAAATATTTTTTTATGCCTGGAACTTTTTTGACTATTTTAACACAGAAACTCTCTGCACTATCACATCTCTCATGGGAACTGTACTTTGGGTGAATTATACCCAGACTCTTAGCAGCCTGCAATCCAATGTGTTGCTTGGCACAACACAGATCTATGATCTTGGCACAGTTTTACTGAGAAAATTGTGCTAATGTGTGAGAACATACGTGAACCAGAGCTGTGCAAGATAAGCAAAGGGAAAACCTAGACAGACTAGCTGTTGAAATCGTGATAGTCAGCAGTTTACAGATTCAAGAGAAGAAATATTGGCATTAAAAGCTGTAAAACCTCACAGGTTAAAAAAAAAAAAAAAAAAAAAGCAGACACAAAGAACAGAGGATGGAATAGAGCAATTTGTCACCTCTGTGGATCAGCTTAATGTCCTCCACTGCTGCCATCCTATTAATGTCCCATGGGGGAGAAGAACATGTTAGAGCTCAGGATAGCGGCTGAACAGCACAGCTGTTTGCTCTGCACATTCCCGATAAATAACTGCCAGGTGTCCCCAAGCTATGTGCATTCTGCTTATGCTCAGCACAGAGGAAAAGGTGCTTGAGCACTATAAACTCCTTACATGTGTCACTATCCAAGGTCATGTCCCCCGATGGGAACCTTCTCTCTAAAGTCTGCAGGTTGATTTTAAGAGGTGAAAGGAAAGAAATACACTCCTCAGGGGGAAATAGTAGCAGCTTTTATTCTTAGCTATTATTTTACAATGCAGCATGGTGAGGAGATGTAGACTGATGTCAGACTGAATCATTTGCTGTCCAAGGAGTCAATCAAAAATATTCAAATTTTTTTTCAATTTTGCCACTGGAAAATAGAAAACAATATTAAAATTGAAATATTTGCACATAAAAAGACAATGCCAGAGATGCTGCATGCTCAATGAGGAAAAATTTATGGAAAATTTCAGATCAGTTCCAATTTCAGCTCCAATTCAAAAATTATTTCAAAAGTGGATCTCTTTTTTTTCTCATAAAAGCGATGAGAAAATTTCCAAGAAATTATGAGAAGGTTATTGAGTATAACAGTTTTAGAGCCAAAAGAGAGCACTGGAGCTGCCTGTCCTCTCTGCCTGCTCCCTGCTGCCCCACAGTTGGGCAGCAATGGGCAGAGGTATAAAGAGTCTCTCATTTTTTGTATCAACGCACACTGGGGGGTGAACAGAGAACAGCCCTGGTGAGAAGAACTTGGGGATGCTGGTGGATGAAAGGCTGGAGATGACCCAGCCATGTGCACTGGGAGCCCAGAAACCCCCCGTGTCCTGGGCTGCATCCAAAGCAGTGTGGGCAGCAGGGGAGGGAGGGGATTCTGCCCCTCTGCTCTGCTCTGGTGAGACCCCACCTGCAGTGCTGCCTCCAGCTCTGGGGTCCCCAGCACAGGAATGACATGGACCTGTTGGAGTGAGTCCAGAGGAGACCACCAAGATGATTAGAAGGATGGAGCACTTCTGCTATGAGGAAAGGCTGAGAGAACTGGGATTGTTCAGCCTGGAGAAGAGAAGATGGTGTCCTATTTATGGCCTTCCAGTACTGAAGGCAACCCAAAAGAAAGACAAAGAGATACTTTTATAAGGGCCTGTAGTGATAGGACAAGAGGAAGTGACTTCCAATGGAGAGTAGGCTTAGATTGGATAACAGGAAGAAATTCTTTAATGTGACAGTGGTGAGACACTGGCACAGGTTGCCCAGGGAAGTTGTGGATGCTCCATCCTTGGAAGCACTTAAGGCCAGGTTGAAGAGGGCTTGGAAGGTGTCCCTGCCCACAGCAGGGGTCTTGGAACTGGGTGATCTTTATGATCCCTCTCAACCCAGGCCATTCTATTATTCTATGACTCTATGATCCAATTGAATGTATTTATTTTAGCAAAGAAATGTATTTGCTTTGTATACTGGTCTCAAAATGAGTTAACAGTCACAAGAGTTTTGTGTAAGTTCTGCACTATTCTGTACAGCTGCTGTATGAAACCAAGGGTATACAGGTAAGATCACCTGCCTAACCCCAAGCCAGCCTTTCATCCACACAGGAATGAGGTTGCAGCAGCTCAGCTTCAGTCCCCATCACCTTCTGACAAGCTTTGCTCTAACACTAGCCTTTCCTGCTGTATTCTGCAGTTTCCCTCACGTAAAAGGCCAGCCTGGCAAAATCCTGGTGCAGACGGAGCCACAACCAGCCTCCACCAGCACTGTGGCATTCTCCCAGGAGGGATTTTTCCTGCTCAGACCTCCTTGATATAAGTGTATGAGGCCACCCTGTGCAAAGTACAAAAAAGACGTTTTGGAAAGCTGAAATGAATGACCACAGCAAGTGAAAAAAAAATAGCTTATTGCTGAGACTGGTGTAAGGCATTCCATGAGTCATTGCCTCACAAGGATTTTGTTGGGGTTCTGGGAAATGAGGAACTGGGAGCTCATTTGTCAGGCTTTCAGAGCTGCAGGTGAAATACTGCCTTCAGTAGGTGGATTCTTGAAAGTCCTAACTGGAGGGTGTCACACTGAAGCATAACTTGCTAAACTAGTAGATTAGCCTTTATACTGGCAAAGCAGTGCCCCAGGGAAGTCTAAATGTCCTTTCGGTTTCTGTGAATGAATTACATCATTCATGTTAATGTTAAAAATGTTAGTTAAACATTTTACTGAATGTAGCTTTCTGATCCTGTGCTCATGAACAAAAGTCACTTGTTATAATGAATATTGAAGACACATCAGTAGCTTTTTTTCTTAAACTGAGGAATAATTTTAAATGCCAAACATTTCCTCATTAAACCTCTTTCATAATCTTAAGAGAGTGGAGTGGAGAGGGCAGAAGAATAAAATCTCTTCATTGCAAAACTGTGCTGCAATCTCACATCATTGATACTTACAGTACAGGCTTGGATGATTTGGATGATAATCAATCCACACACAGGGCACTAAGTTTTGCTCACAGCAGAAACTATAGGAAAAAAAAGGCTCTTTCTCTGAGAAAGTGTGGTATTGATAAAGGAGAATTCCTAGTCCCTGAGTATGATAGCTCAATTTTAATTGAATTTCTAATTTCAGAATTTCAAAGAGAGATTTCTTTCCATACCACTGAGCAAAGAGGAGTGATGGCAGTCCTCATTGCCCTGTACATCAACCCTGACCTTCTCCCAGGACATTCTCTGCCCTTCAGCCCATCGGGCAATTCTGCAAAAGCAGAGTATGATCAGGACAGAAGCAACCAAACAAAGTTTTCAAGATGTAGGCTGTCAAAGGTTAAAGTTGAATTAATTTCCTCGAGAACTGAAAAAGACATCTTCAGTGCACCAGGTCTTCTGCCTTTCAAATTTGAAAGTCCTTCTCCAAACACTAGAGGTACTAGAGTGATACTTGCACTTTGGTGGAAGAAGCCCAGTTTCTCTGGCCTACAAAATGGTTAAACTTTTGGTTTCAAAACATTCAGCCTAAGGCAGAGAACAATCATGGAACGTTGCAGCCCAACCCGTTAATGTTTGGCAAAGCCATAACCAGCTTATAACAGAGGCTTGTAATTAGAGAGGGTCGGAACATTCTCAGCTAAATGAAATCTCATTGAAATACGCTGTTTCATCCAAGCCAAAAAACATTTCTGTTTCCACAAAGGTTTTTTTTGGGGAAAGCTGAGAGAGAAAGCATGCTCACACACTATATTCTGAAAATTAGGTCACTAGTTTGGGATGTAAGAGAATCAAGTTTAGGTCCTGACTCAGAGAGATCTGCAGTAAAGAACAGTGCTCTTGCACCAGGAAGTACAGAGTTTCCCAAATGCCACAGTAGCTCCCTGGCTAGGTTATCTAAAAAAACTGACATATCATGAGAAACATGCTTTTATTATGATGCTCAAGTGATTTTATATCTTCAAGCACCACACGCAAAGTCATATTTTGAAACATTATAGGTTGACCTAAAAGGGAGCTGGCCTCTTCCAGAAATGCAGCCTTTTTCCTGAAAACCATAGAAGATGCACAACCATGAAACTACATATATAATCTATTTTTAAAACTCACAAAATTATTACAGTGGAAGTCATGAACCTACTATATACTCCCTATTTTTGTAGGAGAAAATTGTCAGTGTCAAAAATGGAAATAGTCTCCCAAATCTTACCTTTTAATGATTTCAGGGATCCTGTGAACAGCAGAACACACTATTCATTATATCTGAGGTGTACAAGCTTGTCTGTGGTTTATATGCCACCAGTGAAGGAAAAATGGGAACTAGGTTTTTTTCCTGAAAAATTTTATTATTATTGATAAATCATTTCCACCACAAAAAGTAAATACTTGTTTAATATTTAAGTTAACCTATCAAAAATAATTGCATAAATTTAAATGATGGGCCATTCCAGTTGTCCTCATGGGATGCGAATTAAAATGTTTGAGGTGAAAGCCAGAGCAATGCTCAGATTCTAGAAAACAAATCATTCATTTAATATTCAGGTTAATAGACTTTCACAATTCCTGCTGACCTCAAAGTACATTTTATTTTACCTGGTTTTTTAAGCTTATGCACATTCATAAAATTAAAACTTAGTAAAGGGGAATTCAATTTCCTAAAAGTTCTATGAAACAACAAACTTTCCAGAAAGAAAAAAAGAAGTTTACAAATTTTAACATGCTGAACCAGATTGGTGTGGTTTCCCTTCCATTACCAGCTGGCACTTCTCACAACCTGAGGACAATCAATATAAATGAAAGCCTGGTGTCAAGCTAATGACTTTTTGGATTTTGCAATAATTCAACTACCTTCAACTGTACCTTAATGCAGCCATCCAAACATGCATTCCTGCTGCTGGTATTTTTCTGACTTTCACATAATGTTTGTAATGCTGACTATGAATTTTAACACAGATTATTGCAATGCAACAAGTTTATTAATTTTAATATATTATTAAAATAAAAATATAAATGCGAATGCCTATATAGCAACTAGAAGCAATTTAAAAGTTTATATAAGTGCTAAGTATCATACTTATGATTTCCACAATTCATAGAGCTCTCAGATGTTTCTGAACAAAACCCTAATTTACAGACTTAAATTTTCTACCAGACACTTCTAACTTTCTATCAAAAAAGAGGTGAAAATTCCGTTCACATACTGAACACATGTATAAAAGAACATGTGTTATTTATTAACAGGAGCATTTTTTAAAGTCTATCCTGGCTTTTGAAAACAAGATGACCTCATACACAGGAAGGAGGTGTAAGTTGCTATTTCAGGGCTGTTTTGAAAATATTAAAAAAGGGAGTTAAAACTATTTTACATGCCACTTTTAATTAATCTAATTTCCAGAAGAATTTGACCAGTCACAATGCTAAGCATAGTCTTTGGGAAAACACTAAGTCCCACTCATTTAAAACTCTTTATGGCATAGTAATGTTTTTAGTTTCAATACTTTATGAACTGCAGAAGTGTCAAAAGCTTTTTACAATTTTCATTGAACGTTTTGAAAATCTATCTCAATTCTAATTGTCAAATGTCAATATTGTCTGGACCAAAATCAGGAAAATAACTCCTGCTACCTGATCTTAATCTTCCAGTCTGTTTTGCCAAATGCTAAGAGGAGAATATAAGAGTAATTCACAGTAGTCACAAACACTCAAGGCACTTCATATTCCACTGAAAAGTTACCAAAAGTAAGATATTTTATCATATTTTCCTGACATTAATGTCCTGCTCAGATCACCATCAGACTATTTCTAACTTGGCTATTTAAATTTTTTCCATTTTATTAGCCACTTCCTTCACCTAAATAGATGGCAATGTACATGATCTATAGAGTAATGTTATAAGTAAAAACTGAACTCAGTAGAACCTTCCTTTCTCCAAAATATTGTGGAAAGCATAAGTGGAAGTGCTTGAGCACAGTCACTGGGAGCTAGAGGGAAAATGCAGATAAAATTAAGGGCAAGTAAGAATGGAATTAGAAACACAGAATGGTCCAGAACAACTTCCTCCCCCTCTCTTTATCTTACATTCATTCAGCACACTACCGGTGGGGATGCTGCTGTTGTCTCTTTAATTCTATTAAAGTCTCTCCACATTCTTCCCTCTCTGTTCCCTCTTTAATTCTATTAAAGTCTCTCCACATTCTTCCCTCTCTGTCCCTCTTCTCTGAAGACTCTTTCTAATTGTTCTTGCTCCATACAGAGGAGGTTTCTAAATGCCAGTCTGGCAGCTGAAGGTGGAAGGATTCCTCCTGGAATAACAGATGCACAAACAGCCAGGTAGATATTTATATCCAGAGACAAGCACACTCACATACAGCCATGCCTCTATATGTGCATGTCTGTGTCTGAATGTGTGCATATGTGTGTGTACAGGTATATGCACATACTTATATACACA